TTCAGCATAATCGCCTTAAGCCTTCGAATTTTCGGATCCATTTTACACCCTCGGAAGGGGTATTTATACAATAGGATTGAGTACACAAGGAAAACGAATCCCTAAAACTCAGCCTACCATATCTTGTTTTAAGATATAAACATATTCCTAAAATACAATAGGAAAGCAAGGTAAATTAAGCAACAAGTTCCTTGATCTGATTTAGGAGAAGATCCTCCATATCTAGTTGACCCAACCGCCTAATATATACTCCCTAGCTCCATGCCTCTGGCAATCACTAATGTGTAATCGAAGGCCCGTGGTCCGAGCAGGACCAAGCGCGCAAATTATGCTGTGCAACCGAATGCACCTTGCAAGGTGCATACGGTTGCAAAACGGCGCCGTTTTGGTTAAAAAAAACGCGCATCCCACTTAAAGAAGAAATCAGGTTCGATTCCCGGCAATAGCATTTTTATATATCTAGAAATTCATAATTATATATCCAGAAATTCATAACTATATATCCACAGTGAATGAATGAAGTAAAAATCCACAATGAATGAATAAAGTAAAAATCCACAATGAATGAACTAAATATCCACAATGATTGAACTAAATATCCACAATGAATGAACTAAATATCCATAAATTCATAACTATATATCCATAAATTCATAACTATATATCCACAGTGAATGAATGAACTAAATATCTACAATGAATGAACTAAATATCCACAATGAATGAACTAAATATCCATAAATTTATAACTATATATCCACAAATTTATAACTATATATCCAGAAATTCATAACTATAAATTCACAATAATGCTATTGCCGAGAATTGAACCTGAATTTTTTTTTTTTAAAGTGGGACACACGTTTTTAATCAAAACGACGTCGTTTTGCATCGTATGCACCATGCGCATGGTACATTCGGTTGCACGGCATAACTATTGGACCAAGCATGGACCAACCGGCTACTTCCAGGCCGACCGTTACTAGTACGGTCCCCAACAATCAGCATAAATCATTTCAATTATAAATCTATTACCTTTCTTTCTAGCATCAATGTTATAATAATTAATATTATTAGTAATTAAACCAAGTTAAAAAATTTAATAAAAACAAACATGGGTGAGTCATGTATGTTAATGTGGAACATGCCTAAATTATAGGAGTAGTACATGGAGCATTAGCTTCCTATTTATTAGTTTTCTCTTAGTATAAATATGTGATGTATTTTCATTTGTTAAATCATCCCACTGAATAAACATTATTCATTCTCATCTTTCTCTCTCTCTCTCTTCCTATTTATATATTATTATATATAAATACATAGATATATTATATATAATATATATATTATATTTAATATATCTTACATTTGGTATCAAAGCCAGTCAATTCAACCTTTCAACCCCGAAATATTTCCCGTAGTGAAATATGGCAACAAATTTCAATATTGTATGGTCGGGTCCCAAATTGGACGGGAAACTCGATTACAATTATTGACAAATTATGATGTTCATACATTTGCAAGCTCAAAATCTTTGGAGCTTTGTTGATCCCGGTCTACTCGAATGAGCTGATGCAGCCGCTATACGACGAGATAAATTGGCCTTGGGTCAAATTCACCAAGGTGTTCATTATTCCGTTTTTGGGCAATTAGCTCGTGCTCAAACAGCAAAACAAGCTTGGGACATCTTAAAGGTGTCACACAAAGGAGTCAATCGGGCACAGAAGTCTAAGTTGCAGTCGTTGAGAAGGTTGTACGATAATTGTGAGATGACCTCTACAGAAACAGTAGATGCGTATTTCACTCGTCTTATTGATATGGTGAATAAGATGAGGCTATATGGAGATACGATTGAAGATGGTGCAGTGTTTGAAAAAGTTCTTCGAACTATGCCGATGAAGTATGACCATGTGGTGGCTTCGATCACAGAGTCACACAAAATTGAGCTCTTATCAATTGCAGAGCTGAAAGGTATGGTAGAAAGTCATATTGACAGGATTGCGTCAAAATCGGAACCACTAGTAGAAGAAGCATTGAAGAGTCAAGTCACCCTTAATGTGACTGGCACTAATCAAAGAGGTGGAGGATCTGGTAGAGGTCGTGGAAGAGGAAGAGGAGGTTCTGGTGGAAGAGGTCGTGGTAACTTCAACCAAGGAGGAGGACGTGGTAACTCCAACCAAGGAAGAGGTGGAGGTAATACTAAACAAGGTAAATTTCAATTTCATTGCTACAATTGTGGCAAGTATGGGCACAAGATTGCAGATTGTTGGTATAATGAGGACAACAATCGTGGAAATCAAGCAAACATTGCTGAAAACATTACTGAAAAGTCTGGTGAGAATTCTGAAACCTTACTTTTGGCCAGTGAGAGTTTTTCTGCTGATAAGAACATATGGTTCTTGGATGCTGGGTGTAGTAACCATATGTGTGGGAAGAAAGAATTGTTTTCCGAACTAGATGAATCAGTCCGGTCTGAAGTAACGTTTGGCAATAAGTCAAAGGTGCCAATTTTGGGAAAAGGTAAAATCTCTATTCAGTTGAAGGATGGTACTCACAATTTTATATCCGATGTGTTCTATGTTCCTGAACTACACCAAAATTTGTTGAGTTTGGGTCAGTTGTCAGAAAAAGGATATAAGATACATATTGCTCAGGGGTGTTGTACCATTGAAGATGCTAAAGGAGTTTTGATTGCAAAGGTAAATATGTCCCAAAATCATCTATTTCCTTTGAAAATTAAGCATACTCTCCTTGATTGCTTTAATTCTGAAGTTTGTGATGATAATTGGCTATGGCATATGCGGTTTGGGCATTTCCATTTCTCTGGGATAAACTATCTTGCGAGAAAGGAACTTGTTTCTGATTTACCTGTTGTGAATGTCCCTGATCGTATATGTGAGATTTGTGTGATTGGGAAGAAGCATAGAGATCCCTTTCCCGTGGACAAGTCAAGGAGAGCTACAAAACAGTTGGAGATTGTTCACTCAGACCTGTGTTCGTTGGAGGTTCCCTCACATGGAGGTTGTAAGTACTTTATTACTTTCATGGATGATTTTAGTAGGAAAACATGGGTTTACTTTCTGAAGCAAAAGTCTAAAGCATGTGATGTTTTCAAACAATTTAAGGCTTTTGTTGAAAAGCAGAGTGGTTATGAAATTAAAATCTTGAGAACTGATAGAGGTACATAATATATTGCCTGTGATGATTTTCTGAAGAAGAAGGGTATTCAACATCAGATGACAGCTAGATACACTCCACAACAAAACGGAGTGGCTGAGAGGAAGAATAGGTCTATCATGGATATGGTAAGGTGCATGTTGAAATCCAAGAATCTGCCTAAGCCTTTTTGGGCAGAAGCTATTGCTTGTGTTGTCTATGTGTTGAATAGGTGTCCAACTAAGAGTGTCCGGGATAAGACACCCGAAGAAGCATGGAGTGGGAGAAAACCTTCTATCAAATATCTCAAGGTTTTTGGATGTTTGGCATATGCACATGTGCCAGATCCATTGAGAAAGAAGTTGGATGATAAAGGTGAGAAATGCATATTCATTGGTTATAGTGACGCTTCAAAGGCTTATAAACTATACAATCCTGAAACTAAAAAGGTTGTTATAAGTCGTGATGTCACTTTTGATGAATATGGTGCCTGGGATTGGTTAGCTAAAGATGAAAGTTCTGTTGTTATTCCTGCTGTTGAAAATATTGTTGAAGAGCAACCGATTCCAGATAATGTCTAGTCTCCTTCACAGCCAGAGTCGTCAGTTCAGCGATCTCAGCGCGAGCGCCACTTACCAGCTCGCTTGCAAGATTATGTTTTGGGTCATGATAATGACCTGTCTGATGAAGAGATTATTCAATTTGCTCTCTTTGCAGATTGTGATCCTTTAACTTTTGAGGAGGCTGCTACAGAAACTCATTGGCTTAAGGCGGTGGATGAGGAGATACGTGCCATTGAAAAGAATGGTACCTGGGAGTTAACAGATTTACCTCCTGGGAAGAAGCCAATTGGAGTCAAGTGGGTTTACAAAACGAAATACAAGTCAGTATATCCAACTTGAAGACGGAGACATTTTTTCAAATTGAAGAAGGAAATTGGGATGACCAATATATCCAACTTGGTTTAAAGGAGGCAATGTTATAATAATTAATATTATTAGTAATTAAACCAAGTCAAAGGCATTCAAAAAAAAAATAACCAAGTCAAAGAATTTAATAAAAACAAACATGGGTGAGTCATGTATGTTAATGTGGAACATGCCTAAATTATAGGAGTAGTACATGGAGCATTAGCTTCCTATTTATTAGCTTTCTCTTAGTATAGATATGTGGTATATTTTCATTTGTTAAATCATCCCAGTGAATAAACATTATTCATTCTCATCTTTCTCTCTCTCTTCCTATTTATATATTATTATATATAAATACATAGATATATTATATAATATATATATATATATATATATATATATATATATATATATATTATATTTAATATATCTTACAATCAATCATTGCAATAAATTAAATTATCATATTTAACATATATTATTATGTAATACCCCCCCCCCCCCCCCGAAAGATTTCAATTTTCAAAACAGAAGCATTTTCCTATGGTGGAAAATACTTTTGTTTATATGTATATAATATTCAAAATTTTCTATCTAAAAATAAAATAGATTCAAATTGTAATTTATTTAAGATTATATTTTAAGGCTTTTTGCCATAGATGACATGTAGTGACCTTTCTTATGTGGGAGGTTATGAGATTGAGCCTCAGTGGAGGCGTTGTGCTTCAGTAGGTTGAGAAAGTATATTTGAACAAATACTACAATGTAATAGAGTTAATAATTGTTAGTAATTGATTATTAGTTTAGGATCCAAACTGCAGTCACATTTGGTAAATGGCGGATCATGGAAGGTGTTAGTTGCTATTGCATAGCAACATGCACAACCCAAACTTTTATTGATGAAAGTACAGCCATATTTACAAGATATTTTACCTTGGGACTCGTGGGGATTCTTTGGGCGTCGGCTTCACAATGAGAACTGGGCAATGGGCGTGATGTAAACAATAATCGCTCACGCTTCCCAAAAATGCCCTGTGCCAACAATATATTGCACACCATCAAAGGCACCATCAAGTAGCAAGGCCATGGAAATAAATTAAAGCACATAACTCAAATATTAGGATTTTGATTAATGAATAGCAGATTGTGCCATTCTTAAAAAACGCTATTTAAAATAACGTTTCAAAATAAGATACTATTTTAAAATTTCATGTTTTATCAAATAGAACTTATTACTTATTTATAGTTTAAAACAAGCTATAAGCTAGGTCTAAAATAATTTAAGACCTACCAAAGAGCCTATGATATATCCACAATTGTACTTAGGCTATCCACATCTGTGAATAATTCACAATTTCTAAGAAAAGAAGAGCCATGTTAGCAGATAGAGAGAGGATTGAGGTTTATCTCAAAGAGATCGATGAGATTATTGTAGAAAAGTGAGTCCCACCAAAAAAATATGCCAGCCGCGCATGGCACAATTGCCTCCAGGGCGCGTGCAGTGCATGCGCGAGCTGAGAGCGTAAGGTGACTGAAAGTGACCTTTTTATTTTTTTTAATCAATTTTGTTTTATTTTTTTTTCTCTTCCTCTCATATTCTCTTTCTTAATTAGACTTAAGAAACTCCTCAAAAACTACAAAATAGGTCATATTCTCTATCTTAATTAGACTTAAGAAACTCCTCAAAAACTACAAAATATCTCCACTATTATGGATGCTCTTAGGATCGATTTCATAGATGAGACGTGCATTATTACCTTGTAATGTTGCCAAGCCCACGACTTCCCACAACAAGAAGATCAACGCTCATTTCCTCAGCAGCTCGGCAAAGTTTGTCCTTGGGATCCCCTTCCAGAACCAAAGTTTCTGCTTTAACCTAAAAACAAAAACCAAACATCTTATGACTATACACCTAATCGTTCTTTATTATAACATTTGAAACTTTGGCCTCGCTCTTTGAAAAGGGGAAGAAATTAAAGCAGGTAGCATAAATACCATCTTTTGCTTGCACATTTGCAACGCTTTAGAAAGGACTTCTTTGGCCATCTGCTGCTGGGATTTTCTGTAGGTATCAATCACCGTAGACGTCGCGAAAACAACTACAACACCATGTGATAGAAGCAAGCATACCGGCCTTTATCCAATAAATTTAGTAAATAATGTTTATGCAAAAATATATGCATGAGATTATCATGTATTTTATATATATGTAGCTTACCTGGACCGGTATGGAATACGAAGGGCTGGAAAGGAGGTCGGACATTAACCAGAGTGATGACGCCACTGTGTTGTTCTTCCTCATGGGAATGATGGGATGGGCGATTTTTGAAGACGTTGTCTAGAGCCCAGTTGAGAGCGTAGAAGCTCTCCTCGCTATCGTCGATGGCTATCATCACCCGCCTGTTTTGCTCCGGAACTGTGCTCTCTTCCATTATCTCTGTAACACCCTCTCTATTCAAGTAAAAACATTAAGAATTAGGAACTGATCGATCGAGTCAGATCATATATCTCATCACCGAAAATATTTTCCAATACAAATTTGACAAATGTATCTCATTCTTTTCCCATGCAAGCGAGCTGGCAGATGATGAGCGTCAAAAAGGACAAGTGGCGGCCATGCATGTACAAGCTTCAGTTAGCATCATGCACAAACTTCATCCCGTGATCAACCTGCAGCAACAGATGATCTCATTAATTATCAAGCTTATTTTGACGTTTTCATATGGCTAAACTTTCTGTTTTTATATGTTAGTGCACTGCTTCGCATTTTTCACCTAAATTTGCATACTAGGATTATTTTCAAATACAAACCCCTTTAAAATACAAATTATGTGCATATAACTATGTTAATGTGTGTACGAGCTTTGATGGATGATTGTGATTTTTTCTTTCTACGCACTGCATATAAGTATGTTAATGTGTGCACGAGCTAATCCCATAAATTGTTGGCAGTGCGCCATGTGTGTATGTAAGTATGTTAATGTGTGCACGAGCTCAAGTTTGTATTTTAAGGGAGTTTGTATTTGAATGCAGCCCTGTATATATATAGAATTAAGTTCCCGTGCGGTTGTGCGGTAAGTAATGTGCGTGAGTTTTGTACTTAAGGTGCATGAGGCTTGTGCTTAAGGTTCATGAGTTTTGTACTTAAGGTGCGTGAGTTTTGTGCTTAGGTGTGTGGGTGTATACTTAATGTGACTAGTTGTTGAAACATAAGGTGCATGAGTTTTGTGTTTATGGTGCGTGAGTTTTGTACTTATGGTGCGTGAGTCTTGTGCTTAAGGTGCGTGAGTTTTGTGATTAATGTGAGTAATTGTTGAAACTAAGGTGCGTGTGTTTTGTTCTTAAGGTGCGTGAGTTTTGTGCTTAAGGTGCGTGAGTTTTGTGCATAATGTGCATGTGTTGTGAATTTAAAGTGCGTCAGTTTAATACGTAATGTGCGTCCAACTGCACAACCGTACGGGAAGCCCTTCCCGCACCTTATCCCTTCCATATATATATATATATATATATATATATATATATATATATATATATATATATATATAAAGCCCCAAGCGTTAGGAACCACATTAGAGCGAAAAAATCTCGCCTAAACAACACGTGGTCATTTAATGTTGTGCCTCTTCCGCTGATATTAGGAACCACATTAATGCACTCTTATATTAAATACATGAATTCATTTGGAGACTCATCGTTACTACAAACGATGGTAACCATTTATATTTGGAGACTCGGCGTTTTACATTATAAATAGGGCCAGTGTTCATCCACACATGCAGAAGGTGTTCACATCAATTACAACTTCTTGAGAGAGTCTTTACATAGAATACAAACAAATATATTTATCAATATGGCTCCAATGTTTTCAAACGAGATATCCCCTTCGAAAACTATTTAGCAGCGAAGTGGCAATGATTCTATCAAATGCAATGAGTATATTTCACGATAAAAAGGTATACGAAATCTCTGGATTTATTTTATTTTTTGTGATTCATAGTATTTTCACACGAATTAGTACGCCATTTTTATAATAACAGTGTAAAATACAAATGATGAAAATCTATTCCTTATATAAATATAAAATATATATTTTATGTTTTGTATTCTGCTAATTTATATCATTTAGTGTTGTTTTGTACACAGTATATATACACAACATATAGTGTAGATTGAAAAAAATATAACTGCGAATCATTGTAAAATATAAATTAAAGTATATATTTGATGTCGTGTATTCTGCTAGTTTTTATTTTTTTTTATTTTTTTTTATTTTTTTTTTTTTAAGCAATGAACATGCTATTTTGACGAATTATTAATTTTCAATTATATACCTTATTGGAAGGTTGGTTGGGTCTATTCACCTTTGGAGAAGGTCATTGCGTGGGAGAATTCCAGACCAATTGATTTCTTAATAGAGGACACTGGGTTGATATTATTGAGTAACATAAGAGATAAAAACCTTTTGTGTATTGAGCAAAAATGAATCAAGAGTTTACATCTTTACAGAAAGGAAACTATATAGCCTGTTCATGAAAGAGGGGGAAAAGTGGTTAAAGTTAAAAACTAACTGTTTTCATAACAAGACTTAACTGCTAAAGACCTAACTAGCTTATCTCATCATTGCCTCTTGCTTGCTTGAGTCTTCTGCATGTGCTAACACCCCCCCCCCCCCCTCACCCGCAAGCTGGATATATATAATTAAGTTCCCGTGCGGTTGTGCGGTAAGTAATGTGCATGGGTTTTGTACTTAATGTGCGTGAGTTTTGTGCTTAAGGTATGTGAGTGTATACTTAATGTGAGTAGTTGTTGAAACATAAGGTGCATGAGTTTTGAGCTTATGGTGCGTGAATTTTGTACTTAAAGTACGTGAGTCTTGTGCTTAAGGTCCATAAGTGTAACACCCCAAATTTCTAAAACCTTAATATTAAATACTTAACTTAAATAAAGCATTTAATCATTAACATTAATTTACTAATCATCGAATAAGGAGTGTCACCGCCACACTCACCATACACAGTGACTGCACAGGCTCAAAAGGAACTAACCATTCATAACTTACTACATTAAAATGACTTGGGGAAAAGTACTCCGGTGTCTATCACCAACAAAACGAAAGATGTCTACATCCATAAAGTCAAAAACAACGATAATAGATCAAGAGTTTAGACTACATATCAACTAACTACACTAGTCTAACTCGAGCATTCTCAAGAGCTGGGCCCACCTGAAAGGGGTTTTGGAAATAGACAAATAGAAAACACCCGTTAGCACGAAGCTAAGTATAACTCCACTCAACCCTGTAAAATACTACAGTATATACTTTGGAAAAACATTTGTTCGCGTTCCCAAATTAAGCAATCTCAATCACTTAGACAAAACCTTGATATAAACAACAAAGGTTTCTACATGCTCACAACCTAAAATATCAAATAGGCATACTTCAACGATATCAACCTAACAACATGCTCATACTATCGCGTACTTAACATATCAAATCTAAATCCTGTATAACATTTCGATAACAATCTCATGCTAACACATAAACTTATCAAGCAATTTTGGGCTATCAATTAATAAGAAATTATTCTCATGCTTTCAAGTTCTCATCATGCAAGCTTGAAATATCAAACATCAATATGCAATTAAGGCAATCATACTCAATATACAATCTGGGGTAATCATTCACAATATGCAATCTAGTGCAAACATTCTCGATATGCAATCTCGTGCAAACATTCTCATTATGCAATCTCGTGCAACATTCTCATTATGCAATCTCGTGCGAACATTCTCATTATGCAATCTCGAATGCAAACATTCTAATTATGCAATCTCGTGCAACATTCTCATTATGCAATCTCGTGCAATACTATACTCGAATGCAATAAGATGCTATAGGATAAGTATACTTATACACTCGTTTGTAAATAGAATACTTTTCTGTGGAGGTTTCTTAGAGCCACAAGGACTTGCTTGCTCTTTCTTTCTTAGAGTCGCAATGACTCACTTTCTTTACAAATGGACGAGGTAGGAACTTCACTGTATCATGAACGAACCTATCCGGGCACGGCGTCTAGCCGGTCTAATACTCATCTCATCCACCGAACCACTCTCTTGGTTCTATGCTCAAACTCTGTGGAATCAGGTATCGAGCTATCACCGTGCACACCCCCAAACCAGGATTCCAAGCCTGGCGGGAAGTTTTCAACCTCGTAACGTGGGAATACACCGCGTTACATGTCATCGGATCACAATGTCCGTTACTTCATCTCCGAAAGGACATAGTCCAAACGGGTCCTCCAAAACCTCACTTATATAGATAGTATATATATATATATATATATATATATATATATATATATATATATATATATATATATATATATATATATATATATATCAGGCAACTCTTCTACTTATGCACACTTATGCATGTCACTTCTCAATAAATTCTCAATGCAACAAGATAATGACTTTCCACATGCTCATGAGTTTTGGAAAATAATACTTAGGCTCACATTGGCCACTTATACATTTTTAAAACATAACATGCTAGAAATGCAATTTACTGTACAACATACTTCAATTTTATATATTACTGTGAACTCTCAAAGGACACTTAAACATGCTCGAAATTCAAAAAAACATCCTCTGTATACTTCATCAATTGAAACCTGACAACAATCTCCATGAATCATAAAATACACTTTAGGCATGCTCTTCTGAGAAAATCTAAACAATTAGTGATCACGCTTCTCAATTTAACAATCAAATAACATCATACAGATCACATAGGCAAAACCAAGTCTGATGCTTCTCATTTTCCCACACTGGAACATTGCTGTAACAATTGCTTCACAAAATTTATACAACATCAACAAGTCATTTAATGGCTCAAACACACAATATTCTAGCATTTCTACTCATTTTTAACTACATAGCGGTGACTTCACGGAGTCAAAAAGATATTGGGAATCCATGGGGTTATACCTTTGTAGCTTTCTTCCTTGAGCTGGGATTCCACCTTCTTCCCAAGCTAGATACCCCCTTCTTCACTTCCTAAACAACTCAAACAAACCATACATTACTCACTACAAGACCTCAGAGAAAAATCTAAGATTAAGATAGGAGAAAGTTGATGAATGGATTGAAAGGTTGAAGACTAAGCTTACTCTTGATTCCTTCTTGTTGCAGCCGAAAATGGAAAGCTAAGAATGGAATCAGGGGATGAAGAATGAGCTTGCTAACATTATATAGGGGTGCGAAACCCTAGGAGGATTCCCTATGATTGGTGGATGACAATGTTGTAAATAGGACTTGGCAGAAAAATGCATCAGGCGTTGTTTAAGATGGTTTGTGGTCTACCGTACTCCATGGACCATGTGCTAGATTTGCTATTTAAAATAGTTTGGGTTTAAAAGATAATTTTCCCAAAAATGTTTTCTAGTCAAACAC